AAATGCCAGATGATTGCCATAGCCAATTAAAAGGGAAGGGAAAAAAGCGAACTAAGTGACTGACCGAAAGGCGAAAAGTGGGGAAAATAAACCTATTAAAATGTCTTTTCAAATAGCAAAAATAAACCTAGGATGCCTTAAAGGGGTTTTTCAAATTTACCCAATACAAAAGAGATTAAATTATTGCTTTAATTGTTTAGTGTTTTTCCTAAGAAATCCAACTAAAGCTTATTAAATTTAATTTCCAAGGTTTCAGAAAATCAACAATCTCTTTAAAGCCCTTCATCTTGGCATTCCACTCAAAGAAGTCTTCTTAAATCCCCTTAAATTACCATTATCATCGCCATCTTCGTGTTTTGCACAGTTTCTGCATCCAGCAAGGGTTTTTCCCCCACCCCACCTTAATTTATCTCAGCCCACTTTCACCGACCCTTTCACGCCTTTGTAATTGTTTTCTGCTCCTTCGCTGACCACGTCCTTCGTCCATTTGGCCATCAGCTGGCAGCTGGCTAATAAATGTCAAAGAGTTAACATTTTTGCACGCCTTCCAAGTGTGTGCTAAGCCCTTGCTGAGAGACCGAGATGAAGGGGGCTTTGTGGGTAAAAAACTAATGCAAAATGCAGAACGCGGTTGTCCGCAGGCGATGGCTTTTGTGATGAAAGGTGGGCGGGCGATGGGCGATGGGCGAAGGGTCGGGTCTTTCAGACAGACCCCTCAAGCAGCTCTTGCGATTATAATAATATGGCACTTTGGCGTTGGTCATTCTTTGTTTTTTCTTCTTTTTTTTGTGTCCTCAAGCCAAGTAATTTGCATGTACGCGCAAAATGTCCGCACTAATTAGCGTTTTCATTTATACTACCGCCCTGCCCCCCAAAAACGGTCACGGGATTTGATTATCATCATCGTTCCTCTTTAATGTCCATGGCAGTAATTAAATTTCTTTCATTTCCTCACTCTCGGTACCCGAGTTAAATTCTTAATTTGTCCCTTTGATGTTATGTGAGTGTGTGTTGCATGTTTTAATTAACCCGACAATCGAGCAGAAATAAACCAGGGTATTTTGTTTGTTTCAGGTGTACTACTACATTGTCGATTCGCCGCGAAACGAGGGCAAGGAATTCTTCGAAATCAACCTGCAGAGTGGAGAGATATTCACGAAAACCGTTTTCGACAGGGAGAAGAAGGGCGCCTATGCCCTCGAAGTGGAGGCCCGCGATGGAGCGCCCTCGGCGAGACCCAATAGCAACGGACCCAATTCAGGTGAGCGATAAATATCGAACTTTCCTCCGGCTGTTTTTATTAGCCAGAACCGAAAAAACCCAGGTTAAATACAGTGCTCGCTGAAACTGAGATAGTTTACCTGTTTTTTACTCAGCAAAAAAAGATGGAATTAAATCCGCCAATTGATAGAAGGTTTTTCAATAATACCCACGCGAATATATAAAAAATGTTCTTTACACTTCCACATTTTTCATTTATCATTACTTTTTAATACCAAATGGTTTTATCGCTGATAATATTGAAAACTCATTTTATTATTCATGGTCTTATCGCTGATAATATTGAAAACTCATTTGATCCCTAATATGTCCAAGCTATAAAACTCATTTTATTTTTAATGGTCTTCTCGCTGATAATATTGAAAACTCATTTAATCCTTATTATGTCCAAGCTATATTTTCATATTATTTATGATGTTTCGCAGCCATGGTTATTTGTACACAAACAAGCCCTAAAAACTGGAAACGAAGTCCAATCATGTATATTTTTTAACTTTATATTTATGCAAAGTGGCAAACTTTTATCGGTCCAAGATTGCAAAATGCATAATGTAGTTTGGAAGCGAATTGCTGAGTTCTTGAGTGCCACCGAAATTCGCTACAAATGGCAGCAAATAAATTTAACTCGAAATTCCCCGAAAACCAGAAACGAATTCGCTCTCCAAATATTGACTAGCTCGTCTGTGTGAGTGTGAGAATGTAGTTGTGTAAGTGGATCTATGTGTGTGTGTGTGTGTGTGTGAGGGGCGAGTGTGTTTAGTCGAGTGCATTTGGGGCATTTTATTTATGCGGCATGTTGGCCAGGCATTTGCCACATTTGGCGCGGCGGACATCAAAAACATTTTACGTCAGCCGGGCCTCCTGAGTTTGAATGGTTAGCTGGTTGGAAAAATATTTGACATAGGTGCGGATTGTTTACGGGGTTAGAACAGATTGCCAGGATGTCAGGGGATTCGCGAAACTAAAAGCATTTAAGTTGGATGTGATTTAAAGGAATCACTTAACCGAATAAATAAAAGTGCGTGCGTAATTTATAGGCCCTATTCAAAAGTAAAATGACCTAAATTACAGAAATTTACTTTTGTTCAACAAGCTAGAAACAGGTCTTTAAATTATATTATAAATACCTATTTTGTACACCACTTTTATAAACATTATTAGTTGCCTTAACCATATTTGGGTGTTCCATTTCTCAGCACTTTGCACATGTTCCAGAAGCTATACCAATATATATATTCTCTGAATCCAAATAATCAATTAAGCGAGTGTCTGAAATGTCATTTTCCAAATTTGATTCGCAACTTTTGGCATGTAGCATGTTGCTCCTGTTTTTCATTTGTTACACATTTCTATGGGAAAGCCTTGGCGTCATTGTTATTTGCTGTTCATTAAAAATTGCCCCTGAAATGGCAATCAATTTTCTCCGCTGCTTCGCTTTCCGCACTGTGGATTTTTATATATATATTTTTTTTGTTTTTTGTTGTGCTCCGGCAGTCTGTGAAAATGCTTTTCAATTGTTTAATACGTCACTAAGCCGTACATAAGCTCGTGGCAAATGGAAACAGCGAAAAAATAGACTCGCTAGCGGGCCACATTGAAAATGATGTGCAATCAACATGAGCGGGGCTTTTGGCCATGAAAACGAAAATTAAAAAGTTTCCATGTTTGTTTGGCAGGGGAAAGGGAGACAGAGATGTATATGCAAATTACAACAGTTGCTTACAAATATTGATATTCATGTTGAGTGAAAAAGTTGTGGCAAGGTTTTTTGGGTTTTCCAGAAGGCTGGCCGCTTTTCCGGAGGCTCATTTTTTTAAGGCCAGGTTCTGGCAACAGCTTGTGGCTTCGCAATTTCCCCGGCCAAAACAAACAGGCCTCGCTGAGTTGGGATCTTGTTTAGGAAAAGGCAATAAACTATTGTTAAAAGCCTGTACCCTGCGATGATTTGTTTTCCGTTGCTATTTTGTTCCGACATCGGTTTCGGTTTCGTTTTCATTTTCTGCTGATGCAATGCAAAAGTTTTTCGGCTTTTATTTATTGTTTTTAATTGTTGTTGCCCTCTTTGTTTTTACACGAAAACACAAACCAATATTTATGCGGTATACTGAATTGTTTTGACTGAATGAAAGCCGAAGCTCTTTGCTAGTATTTACATATGAAATTGAGTGAATTTCAGGCATCAATAGTTTTGCTACATTCATAGCATTGATTTGACCCAGAAATGCCAACTTTGTTGATGATGTTGTTGAAAAAAAATAGGCATCCAAAAATATGTTTCTTGCTAATCTTCTTAGAAATTTGCAAATCCTTATCCAACAATTTTGTCAAGTAGAAAAGTTGCATACCTTTATTGTACCCTTTGATCGTTGAATAAAAGGGTATATTGTATTCGCCGGAAAGTATGTAAAAGTCGTTTCCAATCCTATAAAATATATATATATTCTTGATCAGTTCATATACTTATATTCGTCCGTCTGTATGAATGTTGAGATCCGGAAACTATAAAAGCTAGAAAGTTCGGATTAATCATGCAGATTCTAGCTCAAGCTTATTTCAGCAGGGTACTTAGCACCTATATTTTCTAAGATTAAAATTTAAAATAAATTTTATTTTATTTCGGTTTTAAATTCCTACCGGCACGCTGAAAATTGTTAAAATCGGACCATTACTCAATAAGTTATGATCTTAAATATAAAATTTGATGTTTCTTCGCCTCTACTGTAAGGTAAATTTCTTTAGAAGTTAGTTAGCTGAGAAAAGTGTATCTGATAGTCGAGGCATTCGGCTATAATATTCTCTGTTGTCCACCTTTAGTTTTTCCAAAGCAACTTGAAAAATTAAACATTTTTATTGAAGCACTTACTTTGACCAGTAATTTAATTGAGTCCATCATATTAAGGACATTCTCCGACCTACAGGAAAATAAATTGAAATGGTTTTCTTTGAGAATGTTTATTTCTCTAAACTACAAAAATCCTTGTGCTATGTTTGTGCAATTTGATTTAACTATTTTGAAATTCTTTGTCGTGGCTCTGGCCTTTGTTCAATTTTGCTTCAATATTTGTCTATCACTCCTGGCGCTTTGTATTGGCTTTACTTTTTGTATATTTGCATTCGCTTTTTTATTTTTGCATTTATTGTGTCTTGATGCTCCGGCGGTGCTTTGACTGCATTTGTGGACAATTTCGCTTTCCTTGATGGCGTAGAGTTTTTCCACCCACCCATTGTGCGGTTTCCCTGGATTCCGTTTTGCATTAGTGCCGGGCAACGCATTTTATTTGGCCTTTGTTATTGTTTGGCTTTGAGCATTTCTCCTTTTTGTCCTGCGACCTTGTGACCCATTTAAATGCCAACCGTTTTGCCACAGCTGCGTTTCGGCTTGCATTTTCCGCTCCATTTGCAAACAGACCCGAAGCGAAAAATCATTTGCCTAAATAACAAACATATCTGTTATCCCACACGCACACAGTTGGGCAAACCCAGAAATCACACACAGATGCAGAGGCACTGAGAGAAATTTAAGTGGAGATTGGAAACGATATCTTATTGAAATAAAATATTAAATATTCGATTTAAGGGGGATAAATGTAGTATAATAAAATGCCTAATAGATTCCGTAATGTGACTTTTTTAAGGAAGTCCCCACAATGTTTTTAGAACATACACATTTAAAACCATTTAAAAATCCTTGTCCTTTTTAAAGTTAAATATTTTTTTCTCTACACAGTTATTGATGTCTTGTTTTTCCTGGCTGCTTTTCTTGCTTTCCTTTCCGTTTGTTGTTTGGTTATCTGTGGAACGTGCTCTTTTTAGTTATGCATACTTTTAGGCTTAGCAGCAGCCCCTCTGCACGTACCGCATCCTTTTGGCTTCCTGGGGCATAAATGCGCCAACGGGGAAACCAAAGCACCAGACAAACAAAACATGACAAATGTCGGAAAGTTAAATTTTAAGCCTCACCGGGCAGTATAAAAGAGTTATTCAGGAATATAACCCTTCGATGGAAAAATATTATTTATCCAGGGGCCGAAAATTGAGTCACTGCCGGCGGCGAATTAATCCCTTCCTTTTTCGGTACTCGTAAAAATCGCATTAAATAAAATAAGCAGAATTTGCATGACATACTCGAGTGAAAGGCCTCGGGCAACCTTAACAATGGCCCAATTGTTACACACATCATAAATTCCCCGAAAATAGAAGAAGGGCCGAGAGTGAAGCATAGACTCAACTTATTGGGAAACAACACCCTTTCGGGCGTAAACGCTTCCCAAGCAGTTGTCTAATTTCTGGGGCGGAAATAAGTGCTCGTAAAAAATGTTCGAGCCCATAAAATGGGGCCACGCCCACCGTATATGGCCGCCCCCCTTTTCGCAGAACAACCGTTTTAGCAAAAGAAGGAATTCTGAACTTTGCTCTAAATATTCGATAATGCTTTTATGCCACGCATTCAATTTATGACTTTCTATGAAGGGTCCAACAATTTGTAAATAGTTTGTTTGATTTTTGTTCCTGTTTTGTTTTTGGTCTAGCCACTTTAAACTTTTTTTTTGTCGCACATTGCGCATACGCAGTGATGTCATCGAGTGATGAACAATAAATGGCCGCCGAGTCGTGAATTTCTTTTGCCCATGGCTGCTCCGGCACTCGACGGAACCATTTATCTTGATTGCCGCACTCCATCATTTATGATCGATGCTTGAACTGCGTCCCCTCAGCCAGACATTGAACCCTCGGTTAAAGGCATTAAAAATAGTCTGCGATGACCATCAATATTTTTGCTGTAAATTGAATCAGCTTGTTAATAATGGACTTTCGTATTTTTTGTTCTCTTTGCAGGTACGTAAAATAAACTTTGTTTAGTCGTTAGTGAACATGACTGATATCAGAGGATATGTGGTATGTAAAGAATTGGTTGTTTACTTATAAAAGGGACAGATTTTAAAACTAGAAACCATACATTTTACGTTCATTGTCGTCTGTAATAAGGGTTTCATTCTAATCTAAGCCCATAAATTCAGACTTCTTGCAATTAGATAAAGGGCCAAGAGAATTTCCAGTAAAACCCCAGTTGCAGTAGTACTTCGCAGATAGATATGCACTGTTAATATTAGCCCGACAATGCCAAACCATTTGTCAAAAGCAAACCAAAAGAGAGATGAAGTGAAAAACAGAATATATATATATATATATCCCCGAAAAGGGGTGTGTGTGTGTGTGTATAAAAGAAATCAAGAGAAATGGCATTTCCGCATTGCCAACTTCATTTCCGCTTTTCCTTCCGAACGGTCAGAGTGGCAACAAGTCAACAACAAGTTGGCCAAAGTGGCAGCTGCATTTACCATTGAAGAGCTGACAACGTCTTGAGAAATGCCCGAGGCGAAACGCTAAAATAAGATAGAAACTAAAAAATTCAGAGGGGGGGTCCAAAGTAAACGCAAATATGTACTTTTCGACCGTTAAACAAAGCTGCCGGCACTTGGGCCAATTTGCAACGTTTTCTGGCTAGCCGCGGTTAAACAAGGGGGAACTACTCGAACTTTCCTTCACGACTCACTCTTTAATTTGCATAAGTCGCCTTAAATTTCTGGATAGCATATTTAAAGGTCTGCAAACAATGGCCCAAAAATAGACACCTAGCAGCAAGTTCGCGCCGACTCAAGTCAATTGCGCTTTCTAGAGCAATAAATCTTAGAGATTATTTTAATTTCATGCAAACTATTTCAAGCTGAGCTGCGTCGAGATGCCTGTCAACAACTTTTGCGACTCGAGAGCAGCAGCAACAACAACAAAAGATACGAAAAAGTTGCCGAACCTTCGCAAAGAAATCAAAAAAAAAGTTACGCAGTTAGCGAACTCTCGCTAGCGGAAAACGAGGTTAAAATCCACACACAGAGATGTAATTTTCACATCTTCACATTTAAGTTTCGGGAAACTAACAGAGCTCGGGTTTCTCTGGAAAATGGTACTCGTTGGGATCCAAAAATGTGGGAGAGGAACTTAACAGAATACTCGAACATGTCCGTAAACCGAAAAAAAGGGGTCGTGAAAATCAAGGGGAAAATATTTAACAGAGCTCGGAAAAATTGTGATTTTGGTATGGAAAGTATGTTAGAAAATAGCATGATTAGCTTCTGTCCATACAAACATTTTAAGCTGAATATATGATCCACATTCCCCTACCAAATTTTTTCAAAAGAAAATGTGTAGTCTGTTATGTTAACTATGCCTTTGTGTAAATCAAAATAAATTATTTTAATACAATTTGAAATTCTTAACAACGCATTAAAAAGATACGTATTCAGATACGATCATACCTTTTTTTGGGAGAAAGGAATTTTGATATTTATAACTAGTTTCAACTATTAAAACAGTTAAGGAAAATTAAAGCATCTTATCTGTTCCATCTTACAATATAATCAAACAAATTTTTCATAGAGAATGTATACAAGTTTTGTGATTTGTATTACCCCAATTTAACTAAAATATCTGAAAGCATTAACAGGCTTTCGAAAATTGGGTGGAAAGGTCTTTTAAAGTTAGAGACCCGCTGTTAACACTTAATAGAAAATCTATTTCGAATTGTTCTCTCTTGTGAAAGGCTTACTCTCTCCCTCTGTGTGGATTCCATTCAACCAACTTCGTGAACAGCTCTCTAAATCCTTTAACAGTGCCGGCTTTTTGGCAGGTCTTTGAACCTGTTCAACTCACCCAGCTGCCGCTGTGTGCGTGTTCGTATCTGTGTGAATGGGGAAGGACTCTTAACATCCTGCCACTGCTGTTCATGGCGTTTTTCGAGGACGCTTCTGAACATGTTGAGCAGCCATCGAGGCGAATGCAACGAAATGCACCTCATATATAGAGTAAGGATGCTGTTTGCTTGCCATCAAAAATGCGAATCTGTTGAATGGGAGTCCCGAGTGCTATTTGATGACCAATTTCAATGCGATTCGTGGTGACCTTGACACTTATAGAGTTAAGAGTTGCTTTCCCTTTTGCGGTAACTTAAATAGAATGAATTTTTAAAGTTTTATGGAAAGATAAAAATATTTGCATACCTTTAAAAAATGTTGGATACCTTCAATAGATTTCAATTCATACTTAAAATATATTTTACGAACTTGGATGATTTTTTATGATTTTCTCTGTAAACGGAACTTTGGTAAAACCCCCTAGCTGTAAGCTTTAAACTGCTTTATAGACACAAACGACCTGCCACAATTGTGGGCGTGCTCGCGCCCACTTCAGTTGATATTTATGGCGCCGCACTTTGGGTCCACTTTTCAATAAACTGCTTAGTCGCACTCGCAGGCCACAACAGCAGCGAAAGCATCGCAGAATCTGCTCCACCATTCGGTGATTTATAAGTGTGGGGCTTCGCACCCTCAACCCCTTTTTGCCACCGCCACTGCATGCATCTTGTTGCTATCAAAGTGCAAATAAATTACCGGCAGTGGGGGAAGAACTGCCCTTTTGGCATAATGCTAGCCAGGGGCAAAGGATAAAGCGAAGAATTCAGTTGGCTGCCTAAGCGTTTTCTGATGAGACAACTTACCTGTGCACTAAAGGAAAAAATCCATATAAAATTAAAGTCAATGTTTTCCATTAATAATAATGTAATAAAATGTTAAAACTACTGATATTAAAATAATTTAATCAACTTATGGTATCAAAAAACATTGGTTAAATAAAATGAATTAATTACTTATCAGTACCTTTGAATTTAAAACAATGCAATTTCATAAATATTTACTTAACTCCTTTCTTCGTATTTCAATGTGCGAGTCATGAATGAAATTACAAAGCTATTATTCTGCTTTATCAAAGATAAATCGTTTAATTAACATTCACCTAGTAAGGACATTCTTTAATTGCCACGAAATGCAGGTATTTCGATATTGGCATCTGGGCCAGGAACTATGCTCGGAATTTGCCTGTGGCCAAATGGCCATTAACTGGCCTTGTCATTCACTTTCATTCACTTTGACATCGTTGTTGTCGTTGTGTCGACGCTTTCAAACGTAAATGACACGTGTCAAAAGTCAGGAGCAGCGACCATACAACAAAATGTGCCACGCCCACGCAGACAACTTTAATTGCCTACGAAAAGTCCAAGACCTTTCCGGCTCAAGTGGGTAGCAGAAAATCAGGTTAGCACTGCCCGATGGTTTGACAGAGTGTTTCGGTCTCGTTTTAGCCAATATTTCCCTTGAAGATTAACGTCACAGCCAAACAGCTTGGCACCTTTTCCAAGCCAAATGATTAATGACAGCAATTTCGGGGTGAAATTCGGGTGGGCAGAGTGTTTTTCCGCCTCCTGTCCAGTCGTGGGCAGCTCTCCTTTTGATGGAAATCTACTTGTTGGCGCCAGTTTTTCAGCCAATCAAATTTGTCCAAAGGAAAAGCTCGGCCAACTGATTTATATCCTTATTCCGGACCATTAATGATTACCCAGATTACGATGAATTTTGCATGAATTATTCATAATGAAAGCCAAGGTGGAAAGGTATTTTAAAAGTTTTTAGAAAATTTTTAAATATTTTGATTTCTTTTCTCTCTAAAAGGAAAAATGGTTGCCCATTAAAGTTTAAAACAATATTTTTTTTTCAAATGCCAAAAATCCAACAATTTAATGCAATTTAAAAGGCATGACATTTTTCCTTGAAAGGATAGCAATTTTGGCAGCTAGAAACCCATTTTGAAAAATGTCAAACGCAAATGCATGAAAGGAAATATCTGGCAAATTAGTGGGTCGCATGGCCGGGAGCAAACAACTTCAGGTAGCTGGCTTTTAACCCTTCCGGCTGCAATATGGAAAGCCGAAAAAGAGATACACCTCCAACACGCCGGAGGAGGAGTAGAAGGTGTACCAGTACCAATGTCGTTTGCCGTTTGTCGGCATTTGTCACGTGCAGTGACAGTTCGTGGG